GAGATGTTTGGGTGCTCAAGGTGTGTGTATAAGAGACTGTACAGAACGATGCCCCACAGTGGAGGTTGAAAAACATTTCTAATTTAATTAGCTGAAGCAATGTGAAAATCAATAGATCGTGGTTTTACAATCCATGCACCACAACGAGTTGTGTGTAAGATAAGGACTTGTTATTTTATTGTTGGGATAGATATAGGTTTAAAAATATATCATGATTTAAAGTAAATATGCTCATTGTGTATCATAAAGTAACACTTGTTGCATGTTTGTTACATTCRCCAGGCACGGTAGGTTTTTCGTAGCTTTGGTTTGTTTGTCTGTTCAAGAGAGTTTTGATGGTTTAAGGGCACGTTAGACAAATTTACACTTTGCTGGTCATCTGGCAACACCTRCAGGGCTGTAGCTCACCATGATCTGGACACACACTTTGCTAGAGGCTGCTTTTTACTGATGACGTCATACTGTGACAGCCAATCAGCAATCAGGAGAACTTTGTTCTGCCAATCACAGCTGTGCACTCTCATTTGCATCATTTAGGGTCTGGGTAAAGTGTATGATCTCCAAGTGCTTCTAGTCAGTACCATATTTAAATCTATTCTGTAGCAACTACTGTAGCTAGTAACCAGGTTGATTATTAACATCAGTTTGGGCTTCTAAATCTACACGAAAGTAAAGAGCAAATAGGAATTAGCATGTTGCACAAGTACTTTTAATTTGGAACTTGTTCAGAAATGCTAAAAAAATATGAATTACCACAGGATGACTGCCAAGTCTACTAACTGAGCTAATTAATCAACTAACATCAGTTTGTCAGGTTCTAAAAGTGCTTTACAAACAGGAAAACAGCGAAAAAAAAMCCCTAATTTTGTGTTGATCAAGTCCATTTTAACTTTAGTACTATTAGGTTGATCAAGTATTAATTTCTGCTTTTGTTTGAGTTTTCCAAAACTGTAATAATCTGTAAAGAAAACATCATAGCCTATTTAAAGCCTTGAACTTGACCTCCGTCTCTTTAAGAACCTCCTGTCATTTCAGACACTCCCACTTCAGCACGTTTTCATAGCAACACTTCGGGGGAGGGGTGCTTTGTGGGGCAGGAGCTCGGCTGCAGACTGAGCTCCAGGGAGGAGCTTTGGGTAAATAGGCGGGGCTTTGTATCAGCAAGCATTTAGACAACTCCACATGACTACCACAGGAGATTCAAGGATTTCTCAAACATGCATGCGTGTCTGGACATGCAAAAATGCTTATAACTCAGAAATAGTTCAACATAGGAGCTTCAGATTTCTTTTGTTGTTTAGCTCTGGTGAAGCTCTGTCCATCAGGCCCACCAATCAGTGCCCCCCACCCCTCGGACCCCTTTTTTTCTGAAAAGGGGTATCTGGACATACAAAAATGGTTATTGCTCAAAAACTATTAAACACAGGAGCTTCAGATTTTCATTGGTTGTTTAGCTCTGATGAGGGGCTATCCATCAGGTCAACCAATGCCCCCCCCCCCCCCCAAAAAATAAAAAAAATAAAAATAAAAAAAGGTTCCCCACTCAAACCACTACAATTTTGGGATGCACCTAGTAACATGACATTTATTAGCAAGAACTGAGCTCTGGTTCATTTGTGTGTGCGGGGGTCATTATGTTACCGCTATGTGGTATCTAGTTTTACTTTAAAATGTTTCAGCAGTATGTATCATGCTGCATATTTGATTGGATCCAACTAAAGTATTTGTACTCATACTCGATTTGAGAAAAGCTAGTACTGGTTCCCCTAAAAAATTAAATATTTTATTAGAAATATTGTACATTTCTGGCTATAAAGAGCCATAATAATATTGTTGCAATGGGTGATTTAGTTTTGGCAACAGTAGTAGCYGTACATGTTTTTGTCTTCAAATAAAATAATGAAGTCGATTCTTTCCCCGTCAGTTTTATTGCTGAAATTCCACACCAACAGAATCTCATAATGACCTGCATCTCGTATCTCGTTTCCTCGGTTGTTCAGGAGATTCTTTCACTGTTTACAGACACGGCCGCTCGTAATGCATCACAACAATCTCAAATCACACTCCWTCTCATTTACAGGATCCTCCGAGGAAAAATTGACCATTCTGCTGCCTCTGAATTTTTTATTTTTTTTATTCTTCCTTTGGGTTAAGTGTTGTCTTGGGAACTTGGAGAACAGCAGGCGATCTGGGGTGGAGAGAGGGGCGAGGGAGTCTGTTGAGAGGCTCTTGAACTACGGTCTACTGTAAGTGGAGAGTGCTGAATGAGAAAATTGTCCAAGAGCAGRAAAAAAAAGAGAGACAGAAGATGCAACAGATTCACAGCTTGGATGATTTGTTTGCTCGTCTGTACCCCTCCTTAAAGCTGCCAGACTCCAGCATCATGCCATGTACACACTTATGAGATTGAAGTGTTAAAGCTTCTTTATTTCTAACCATATTGTAGCTTTTCTGCTTTGTTTTTTCCTCTCTCCCTCTGTTCCTTCATTCRCTGTTTCTTTTTGTCTGATTAGAAATTTCACAATGTTCTCTTTGGTGGAGGGAAAAAAATGGCGCAGAGCAAAACAAGCAAACAGCCATTCAGCTGTGATGTTTTTCTCCCTCATTCAGTTTGAAGCTTCACCAACTGGCACACTGTATTCACATTTTTTTTCTCATGTTGCCCTGGCATTTGAGCTACAGCGAAAGATCTTTTTGAAATATGTGGCTCAGAATAAAAGAGGAACAAACAAGGGGAAAAAAGAGTTATATTCGTCTCTACTGATATAAAACTGTAATTTAGTGATTTATGTTGACCCGGTCTGCCGTTTATTATTTTGGCATTTTTTGATTTGTTGAACCAGGAAAAATCTGAMAAACTGCAGCTTTGACTCTAGATGCCAATATTGTTTTTATAACATCTGATGATTTGCCTGTCAAAAAATAATGACAATTTAGAAAAATACCTCAATTTGTTGTCTTAAAATCTTAAAGGGATCTCCGACTACTTCTATGTYGGTTTTAGTATTTTTTTATTTTGCTAAAAGTTGTTTGTGACACATGAAAAGTTAACTTAAAGGGGCAATATCACATAAAACAACTTTTTTGAGTTTTATATCATGTTATAATGTTAAACTCTCATAAAAAACATGCCCAAAGCCTTGCTTTGACTCATTCATGCATGTTTGAGAAATCCTGCAGYGTTTTTAGGAAGCCATGCTGAGGAGCAAAACGACAGGTGGGGACCAGAAACACCTTTTGGGACCAGAAACACCTCTGGGTTGTGTCCTTTTGGGACAAGCTCCTCCTCTGGGATGCGTCTTTAAGCCGAACTTCCTCATGGCGGAGCGGCCCTCCCCCCACCCACCCGCTCTGCGACTCCAGCAGGCTACGTGCTGAAATGGGCGTGACCGAAGCGGTTGGATTTTTCTTAAAGAGACAGAGACCTATTTCAAGACGTTTAGAAACTGTCAAGATGAGAAGTAAATTGTTTTGGGGATTTTTACAAATATTTAGCTCTTTCACAAGCTGAAAATGTGACATAGTTACTTTATTTTAGTATAAAATTGAAATATAAGCTTGGAAAGTACATAATATCGCCCCTTTAAAATTTTTAAAAAGTGAGTATTTTTACAGTCTTGTTTTTATAGTTGAAGTAAATGTTTCTTAAATAATGTCTRTAGTTCGAGCTCCATATAACAGGAAATAGAGTTACTTCTGAGTTTAAATAGCACAGGCCAAGCTGTGGCACCGACCTCTGTCGTTCGCTCCACACAGGGCTCGAAATAGCCGAGATCTGGCCCAAATCGTCACGGGGAGATTGGGATTATGTTCAGCTTGATGTTGCCTGTCTCCACCAGCTTTCCACCAGCACTTTCCCAAGCAGCAGCGCTCTCACATCTTTGTGGGTCACGTCGCAGAATCCCCTGTCATTAAGGGCGGCGGGTTTTAACGTCATGAAACTAGGATATCTTGTCGCCCGGAAAAAAACGAAAAGAAAAAAAAACCCTTCCCCTCTGCCTCGTTCCTTCCACCGATAACGGCTAATCCTCGCCTCGCATTAAACTGTGACCAAGATCAATTAAAAACTCTGCCTCACCCCGATTGCAATCTCCCTCTGCTACAGCCAGTGCTGAGAGAAACCCGAGTGTGTTTGTGTGTGCGTGCGTGCGCCACACAAATGTGGTTGCCAAGCCACAGGGAAAGCCTGCCATTGATTTTCATCGCCTCTTAACAGAGATGAAAGACAATAAAAAACAATAACGGCGATGATCACAGCTCTGCGAGCCATCTATGCACATAATGATTATTCAAGTCTGAATTACCATGCTTTCCTTTTGTTTTAATTATTTTTATTTGGCACTACCCTCCCTATTGTTATGAATTCGGTAATGAAAGTGCGCGCCGAACAAGCCCTGTGTGTGTTTTTGTGGGGGGCTGTATTGCTGAAAGTGGGTCTGCGCTGTTCCTCCTTCTCCCATGTCTTATTTGGGATCAGTCCAGTGGAGATCTTTCCCACCAAGAGGCTTTTCCTCCCTATGTTTTTTTTTTTTTTTAGAGTTGGAAAGTTTATTGTGGGCAGTGTTTTCTGTTGCACACGGCGAGCCAATTTCACACTGTATGTTTGTTTCCAAGACCATTGGCATTGACAGTGGAAGTGGTTGGCAGAAACGGAAAAGGCTCGCTTCCAGGGCGCCAAAACATGCGCTGGCATGTGAGACGGAGGGGTTGGACGCTGGGACGGGTGGGACGCCGTGAAGGTGGAGGATAGCAGCGTGCGCGGCAGGACAGGGCGGGAACGGAGGCGGAGGGAAGTCTCCGGTGGGCACGCACGGCTGCCAAGTTGACTGTCGTGTCAGCTGCCGGGATTGGCTGCTGTGGGCCTCAGGTTGTTTTGGTGTGCACATCAAAAGGACGGGCTGTGAACATGAAAACACAACTCATACCCCCGCCACCACCTTCTATCTAGCTTATCTTTTTACATATTCAATGCAACTTTTGCTTTTCCTCTCATCCTATAGGCCCTCGTGTCGTCTCCTTTTCCCCACGAGAGCCACATCCAAGGTGATGCAGGATCTTTGAGCTCAGGAGGAGAGACAGCGTTGCCTGCAGGGCTGCCATGGCAAAGTGTGGGAAAGGCCCTGGAGAGGACAAGAAAAAAAAAGGAAGGATGTGGAAACTAGTGATGGCCRACACTCTCACACCTGACCACTGTCTTTTCAAAAACAAAAACAAAAAAAAGGAAAAACAGAGAAAATTTTCTACATAAAACAACAACAACAAAAAAAGGAAAACGACCTGAGAAAGTTCCTCTCAGCTTCACAAGCCCAGAGAAAAGTACCATCTGGTGCCATTTTTATCCCCCTCCACTGTGCCTCTGTTTCGTCTTTGCACTGCTGTCAGCACTGTTTCAATTACATTCTGCAGCTTATGTCTATAGTGGATTACACCAGATTGGTGTTTGTGTGTGAGACTGTGGGTTTGCTCGTGGTTTAAGGCTATGGAACGCTTTCTTCTTTTATTGTCAAACCAAAGACAACGGTGTTCTTGGCCTGCGAGCGGTTTCCACCTCTTCGCGGCGCCGTGGCAGAATTAAGACGTGAACGATMCCATTTCAGATCGTGACAAAGAGATCTAATTTTGATTTCTTCACRTTTTTGTTTTGCTTTTTTCTTTCGCCTTTTGTCTTTTTGCACTCTTTTTAAAAAATTTTTTAGTCTGTGGGACTTTTTTTTTCTTCTCCTAGATTGTCGGTGCTTAGTTGTGACCTAGTTTGTTAAAAGGGGGGAGTTTGGCCAAGCCTTGGGAATCCGGGGCAGATTAACTTTCTGTTAGTTCTCCCTAGCAAAGCTCCATATGTCAGAGCTGCTGCTATCAAAAATGGATCCTACTGGCAGAGTAACACAACGACCAAATCCCATTTCCTTGTGTTTGACCTACCCCTATCCCTTGGTCCTTTTTTTTTTTTTTGAAGTCATGATTGTCACCAATAACAAATGGTAAAAACCATGTTAACTGACATGCGTAAACCCATATATGGCATTAACTAGCTTGCTAAAGACATTGGCACACATTTTTTCATGTGTATCAAGAAAGATGGCCAATTATGTAAAAAATACATAAAGTACATTAAACAAGAATGTTGCAATGGTTTTTTTTTTGTGACAGTACGATATTTTAGCAGAAGAAACAATTTTGTTAAAGATTATCACTGAGAAATTACATTTTCAGGGGTATAATTTTTTCAATTGTGTTATCAACCCAAGTGATTCAAGTGATCCCTATAAAATTCTAAAGTAGTATCTCACTGAGCTGGACCCTTTGGTGACTAGTTTTAATATTTTGCTGTCTCAACTATTGTTAGGTCTAGTTTAGTTTAATTTATTTTAATTTTACACACCATTTATGCTATCTTCTCTAAAAGTACTTGACCACTGCCCTCTGTAACTTTGAATTAAATAACAAATAGTGGCCACTGTTAGGATCTGTGTGTTTTAGGTATTTTTTTGTATTTTTTTTATTGCTCCGTTTATTCCTTTCTGGTTTTCATAAACATTTTTTTGTGATTTGTGACCTTTGTGTTTAGTTCTGCTCTTCTGTGTTTCCTTTTGTGACCAGTTCATTTTGCCAGTCATTTTTCACAGCTGGTTTCTGCTCAAGGAGGTTCCATAAAGCAGCTGGAGTCTGTCTTGGTCACGTGATGCCRTGATCTACTGTAGCAACAGCAGCTACAACCATAGAGGGCAAGTGCCTGGATTTAGTAKTGCTGTACATACTGTCAAAATAGCTACAGTAAGGGATGATTATGTAAAAAAACCCACAAAAACTATTGATAATAATATCAACAGAAATAATATTAAAGTGTGTATAAGCGATCTAATGAAAACGACAGAAATCTTATCTTTTTTACCTCAGTGTGGATGAGATCTGACCAGTATTAAATGTAAGTTCTTAGATAAATTAAGCTCAAAAATCCAATGTAATCACTGTTATTTACTGAATTAGAGGATATTAGCTTCTGTAGCATGTATTGCTTACAGAGTGTAACACTCTGCTGAATCATGCTGTTTAGCAAAAATTATTAAATACAAGCTGTTTTCTCCTCTGAATTATGTAATACTTACACATTGTGAAAAATGTTTGACTATTTGTAGATTTCTATTAGACAAATCCAACCTGGTGAGAAGAGGGTTTGCTAATATAGAGACAAGTTTCATCCTAAAGTATCAGATTACACAGTGAACATTTTAAAAGTCAACTACAGAATTGTACTTTATTACTAGTTGAAGTCATAATTCTTCAACTAGCTAAAAGGTCCAAGTTAATGACTGACTTCAGATCTAGTTGAAGCATCATTATATAGATGCAGCAGGTAAAATACGTATTGAACACGTCAACATTTTTCTCAGTAAATATATTACTAGAGGTGCTAATGACATGAAATTTTCACCAGATGTTGGTAACAACCCAAGTGATCCAT